AGCTCCTCGTGCGTAACTCTCCTGAAAATGGAAGTGCGGAACAAATAAGAACAGTAAACGGAGGTGTAGGTCTTATTCCTTAAACGAGGAAACGAACGGATCCCACGAAAAAAAGAAACAGAACACATCGTACGAAGACCTACATAGCGAATTTCCACTAACAACCACAACAGCAGCAAATATATTTGGCATAGACTTTATTGGGTCGTTTTCCCGCAGTTGTCAGAAAGATTCCTTTTGGGTTGTAGTAATTGCGATAAGGCATATGCACCAGGCTAAAAGCATCTAATAAAACTTTAATAATTGCTCGCAAGGCAGATGGAAATTGACGTACCTTGTTCAGAAGGTTTCCCAGCGTCAGCGCCAGGTGCAGAAACTTGCGCAATCCCCTGTTGTTCATAATCGATGAACATTCGGTGATGACCGTTTGCAGCTGGCGCTCCATTTCCAACGCTTTGGCCGGGAATTCCTCAAACTGCATTCAACAGATCATTGGGTAAAACAATTGCGCTTTTAAACAAATTTATAATTCAAATAAAGGATTTGGGGAAAGAGTACTATATCATCTCAGTCCGAAATTAAGTTATAAGGAAATTGTCACATCTGGAGCAAACACTAGTTATTACTCTTCTCTGCGTTGTACAAATCTACTACATTTTACAGTGACAGTCTAAAGCTATATGTATTGTATAGTTAGTCATTTTGGACCTAACGTAACAGAGCTGCAGGTGGCGAGTAGACATCTCGCATTTCTAGCAGACCCATACCCTTAATATGACGAGTGTAAACAGGAAGGGTAGTGCTGCTTTAAACTTAGGAGTAATGTTGTTGGCATGTGAATGTAAAAATATTTATTATGACTTTGCCTTATAACGTAGAAGAAAAGGAACTCACCAGGAGCATAGCGCGCACTCTCAGTTCATAGGCCGGCACCTCCGCCAACAGCTCGTACAGCTTCTCGGCAGAGGAGAACTCGGACCGGTCGCCTGTGAACGCCTTTACAGCTTCGAGCTAAAACAGACACAAAGGAACGTCACTCTCTCATTTGGTTCATGCTTCGCATTGTAATACACTAGCGGTCGAAGTACTGTAGAAGTAAAGCAATGCTACCTCAGGATTCTGCCAGTACTGTAGGCGGACTTTCGGGATCAATGCCTGTATAAAGCGCATAAATTAAATCTTTGATCATCTTTGTAAAATGAAGTTTAACTAACGATATCTTTAAGACACGAATCATCTCAAACATTAGGTTTCTTCCAAAAATGATGATTTTTCCGCCTTGTATCTTTCGATGTGTTTGGTACGTTCGGAAAGGAAATGCTCCAGGAAGTAGTGCCAATTGTGGGCCAATATCCCAAAACCTGGAAGTTTGTGGAGGTGGGGGCTGGGTACTTACCTCGAGGCGCCCCGGCAGCAGCTGCAAGAGCGCGCGCAGAGCGTCTGCGCCCATCGGCTGCGCGCCCGCTGCCCCTCCGCCCCCCGCCGCCAGGTCCAGGTCGCGCACCGCCCGCACCAGGCCTCGGGGACTGCGCCGCTGGCCACGCAGGAAGACGTGCACGGCCAGCGCCCGGCGCTCGCCCACCAGGCCGCTGCTGCCACTCCTGCTGCCGCCCCGACGCGGGGTGCTCGCGCCTGCAACACGGGCACACTTCAAGCCACCACGTCATTTTAAACCGTAATTGTTAATCGTCAAAATAATCAGGATGCTCTCAACTTCTTATGACACAACTGGCATGGTTTATTGCTTTATCTGATTTTTAAGTTGCAAAAACTTGTCGATTACGAAAACAATTATAACAGAGCAGAGAAAACAGTTGCACGTCAAAAATGCATCCGGATCTATACGGAACGACTCGAGTTCCGGTGCACACGCATGCACTCCGTCTTTGTCTATCGAATCGCGGACTCACCTGAGCCGGCGGGCGACGCAGCCCGGGACGAGCGAGGCGTCGAGGCAGTGGAGGCCGCGCAGCCGGAGCAGTCGCAGGCGGGCGAGCGCACGCTGAACAGCTCGTCCAGCTCCGCCAGGTGCGCGGCGATCGCCTCGGCTGGGAAAACCTCGGGCTCTCGCCACCAGGTCGTAGCTGCAAAAGGAAACACTTCGGTCAGAATGTGAAACGCACTTTCGCTTCGCGAATGTTTGATTCGAAGAGATTCATCTACTGCGATGCCCAACTAGTTACCAGACATTAATCAAATCCATTATCTAAACTGCATGCTCTATATTAACGTTTTCTTTTAGCTTTCTGGATTCGGAGAAACCTTAAATTGAGGCCTCTCATTTGACTAGGTGCAAATGGAAGACGTGCATGTAGGGTAAACCAATGGTAGAAGGGGTAGAAGTATAAGAAAAGGTAATAGATAGTTACAAGCAATCCTGCCCCAGTATCCAATAATTCAAGATTGTGAAGGCTGTTTTTAATTTGTCTGAAATACCAATTCTACCAACATGCTCGTTTGTGTATGATGAACGGTTGTAAATCCAAGACACGATCGCTGAGAAAGGAAGGCAGGTCTGACTTACCAGTTTCGGGCGCAGAAAGTCTGCTCCAATTGACCGTCTTCATGCGGTGGCGGCGGGTGGGCGTGCTGGTGGCCGAGAGCGGCGACGGCCAGCTCCGGGTGCTGAGCTGCGGGGTGCCCGGTGCAGGAAGGGGCGGCGGCAGCGGGGTTCCGCAGGGGGGTGGCGGG